CTGGTTGATCCACTCTGAGAAGGTGCTATTTAAGAGACTGAGCTGAATACAGCACCTCAGACTGAGGAAGTCTCTTGGATGAGAGACGAAACGTTTCTACATTTTTTTGTTAATTTGCTTTGTTTTGTTTTTTTGAATGTCCAGAGGACCAGATTTAACTTTTTTAGATACCAGAAAATTGTTGACTGCATTTAATTGTTTCACACAGCTGTGCTGGAGTTAAAAAAAAAAACTAAAATATCAGGTGAGACTGAGGCTTACTAGTGGGGAGGGGGCTGTGAAGACAAGGAGACCACATCCAGTGAAGGAAGAGGGATCACCTAAACTACAAAAGAGAAGAGGAATGTTCCACACACAAAGCGAGACACCTCCACCACACCAAGTCTCAGTCCCCGAAAAATAAAAATGAACAAACAGCCTTAATGAAACAGCCGCGTCACAATATTTCATAAAAACAGATTGAGTGGTGCACTCAGTTCATTAAAACCAAAGCCTCAGCCAGTAGGGCAAGGGCCCGAGTTAGTTGTGTATTTTTTCCTCTAGGCAAAACAGCAGCGAGCAGAATCCAGCTGAACAGCAGGAGAAGGCTCATCTGAAAACTAAAGGAGCAGATCGTCACTATTAAACTCAACCATTGACAGCAGAATTTACAGAATCTCATATTGCCTACCTGCAAATGTGTGTGTTACAGCACAATCTTATAATAGAGTTGCTGTATAAATTGGATCATGCAGCTGTAACAGAACAGTCTAATAAGCATTTGTTTACAGTAACAGGTAAGCGGTAGCAGGCTAGGCTAACCCTTACCTTCAAGCCATTAATTGGGCACACAACAGACGGACCGGTCTTATACCCAGGAGGCACAGCAGAGAAGAGGCTAGACTGAACGTTAAGAAAAACAAACCAGTTTGTATTAGCAGCTGAAGGCAAACTACTGCACAAAGAAAAACAAACATTAGCCACGCTTACCGGAGAATGTTATCAGCAGCGGAAGCAAGCGGACGTCGTGACGCACGCAGTGTACCCAGACAGGAGTGACGTGCTTTTATACAGAAGCCGCAATTGACCATGTTAAAGTGGCAGCACACCATTTATGCTGCTACAATAGCAATATGATGGTGCTTTACCAGTTACGATGATGGAAACCCGTTTGTCTGTGGGAGTGAAGAGAGGGCACTGTACAGTGATGAGGGCTGATGGGAGCTCTGGTGACAAATCGAATGGCTGGTGTTCTTCATTAATCACCTTCATCTTTTGCTCATTCAAATAACAGATATAGTTTGTTTATTGTTCTGCTGGTGTTGAATGTGTTCACACTGCAGGCAAATGTGGCCCAAATCTGAAAACTTGTTGGTTTTTGCCCCCATGCAACCCATATTGGAATTTTTCCAATGAGTGAGGTAGGAGTGAGCAGATGAGTGCAGGTATTAATAATAATGATAATAACCTCGTGCAGTTTAAATCTGGGAACTTCTCACGTCTTCAGCTACAGAACAAAAGTCCAGTTGCTACATCTTTGTTCTTTTAATCTCCCATGTTCTGTATGGCTGACAATCTACAGCAGCATATGATACTAATGCTGGTGTCAGACCATATCGATGCTTATGGGATGGGATCCATACTCGAGTTGGTTTTTATCTTCAGTATGTCGCCCCCAACCCAGACAAACAAAGTTGTACTGGAGGAGCCGTCAAGACTCAAGAATAAAAGTAAACCCTGGACCAAATAAACATGTCAGATCATTAAATCAGTTCTGATTGGACAACTTCAGAATCACACATGCTAACACGTAGCATCCATGTTTACTAGCTTAAACACAACGTACTGTGTGTGACATCATGTTCTCTTCTGTGCATGTTGGTCGTCTCAACTGAAAACGATTCACACTGGAGTCTGATGGAGGTCACATTTAATGACGTGAACTTTCACACAAATATATAGGAATTGATATCCTGATGTATGCTCAATGATCCAGGTAGAAAAATTCAAAAAAGTTCTTTTCAGGGACACCACCAAGTCATTGGTTCAGGTATGTTGACGACACTTGGGTTAAAATTAAATCTCAGGAAGTCCAACATTTTACTGACCACATCAACTCTGTGGATAAATACATCAAGTTCACACGAGAAGATGTAAAAAATGGCAAGTTGGCTTTCTTGGACTGTGAGGTCTCAGTCTCGGATAGAGGACATTTGCAAACTGAGGTGTACCACAAACCCACCCACACAGACCAGTATTTGCAGTTTGACTCCCATCACCCTTTGGAGCACAAGTTAGGAGTCATCAGGACTCTGTACCACAGAGCAGACAGCATCCCCACTAGCTCAGGAGCCAGGCAGAAGGAGAAATCCTACACAAGACAGGCTCTAGAGCAATGTGGATATCCTAACTGGGCCTTCCTGAAAGCAGAGAAGAAACCCAAACAGGACTCCAGTCAGCCATCAGGTGAAAAGGAGGAACCCAGACCCAGACCAGTGGTCATTCCATATGTTGAGGGGGTATCAGAGAAACTGAGACGTTTATTTTCTAAACATAACGTCCCAGTGGCTTTTAAACCCCAAAATACATTAAAGACTGGTTCATCCCAAAGATCCAGTCCCCCGGCACAAACAGAGTAAT